TACATCGGTGTTCAAATCTTTCAATTCTACTTTGAATTTACACTCTAATTTGTTCAATACTTGATTCATTGTCTCATCACATGGGATGCCCACTTCTCATCTAACCTCAGTTTTGCCATTACTTAGTCTATCGATATTTGACAGACAGTTACTTAATTGTTTATGAGTCTGATACATATTCAAATTCCAATTAATTGTATTGCAGCTTTTTCTAGATTGTCTCGGACCTTACGATGCCGACAGAGGCAGGTTAGTTTCCCATGTTTGACTGCACTATACAATTCAACACGTATAAAATCTATTTTTCTGTGGAAGTAACCATCCATGGTGTTCACTGAATGAAAATTTTCATCATTGATTGTGCTAAGTTCGACATGTCCCAAACTGGTTTTCTGAAGTTGCTTCCAAAAAACAAGATGCATTTTTTTTCTTATCTTCTAACTACATTTATTTATGTTACAGAGACAGTGTAATAGAAAATTTGTTCATCAGAAGATATAAGCCAACATTGATCTGAAGCCTCCTCCTTATGCACTGGTACGCCTAAGATGAGTTGAATTACATGATCATGATGTGTTTATCTCTGTAATATGTATTTCCTGTCTGTGGTAGGATGCTCTAGAACCACATTTGAGCAAACATACATTAGAGTATCATTGGTGAAAGCACCACAGAACTCGAACGTGAAGGACAATTATATTTTATATATTCAATATTTTTATAAATCTGCTGCTCTCTCTCTCTCTCTCTCTCTCTCTTTCTCTCTCTCTCTCTTTCTCTCTCTCTCTCTCTCTCATATATTTACTTCTTATTTGGACTAGTTTATATATTTATTTTTCTGACAGGATGAGCAAGGAAATTACTGCTCTGTGGGGCTAAGATTTCCAATCTTGTTTTCTTTTTTCATTTCTTTCTATTAAAGCATTATACTTCCAATTTTATATATTTTGTAATAAGCCATTTCTATTCCTCACAATTTGTTCTTTGTTTCACTTTTCAAGTGATCAAATCTTCATGATTTGTAGCTGAAATTGCTGCAATAATTATAAACAATGAAAATCTTATTCAATCAAACATGACTGATTTTATGAAATTATTATTTTCAGGAAAAATGGCATTCATTGTTGGAATAGCTGATGATAATGGATATGGATGGGCAATAGCAAAATCTCTAGCTGCTGTTGGAGCTGAAATCCTTGTTGGCACGTGGGTCCCGGTAAGAATTTATAAAAATTGATTTAATGCAAAAAAAATAGCAATGCACTTTCATTGATTTTGTATTTTATTGTAATTTGCAATTGAAAGCATCCTACTTTTATTTGATCTAAATACAAAGCAAATTTCATTTCTATGATTTTGTAATTTTTTTGAAATAAGAAAAAAAAATGTTAATGTCATACAAGCTATTTTTTTTACTGAAAGCTCGAATTGCTTCAGCTTTTTATGATAACCTCCACATAGAGGAAGAGTATCTGTGGGGCTAAATCCGACATTTCTCTCCTTCAGGTTTGTGCTTGGTTTCAGGATTTTCTATTTTTTTTTAATATTTTGTTATTTTCTTCTTTACTAGTTCATTACCATAAAAGATAATATCATTATTTACAGTTGATACTCTACTTTTATTTTCATGGCATGTCTTATTTTGGTCAAATGTGACAATGATATTTCAAGATCCATTATACCTGGTAACCAATCTATTCATTTAGAGATACCTTTAATGCTGCAATTGCAAAAATCCTAAAACTTGTAATTACATTTTTTTATAAACCTAGAAC